ACTTCAGAGTACCCTGTTAAACTAAACTCTCCTCTTCTTCCCCCATCACAGAACTTCCTGCATTCTGTATGTAGCACTATCACCCTCACCCATCCAGTTACACTGGCCAAAAATCTATGACCCATTGCAGACTCTCCTTGTGCCTGGATTCCGAGCAGGGCCCTGCCCTCCACTACCCTGCTGCCCTCCCAACCTTGTCATGCAGGCCTTCACAATTCCTCTACCAAAGCACCATAACAAAGCCACAGCCTCAAATTGTCTCCCACCAAACCAATGGTAGAAAGCTCATCATGACTGCACATGGCTATGTGTCCCGGCTTATAATCTTTCAGTAGCCCTACAGCCGGCAAGGTGCCATACACTGTCCTGAGGCTGCACACACACAATGTGGCATAATTCCACGCCCATCTCAGACAGACTGAACTGCTCCTGTTCCAGAGCACACGTCTCTGGCAAAGGGCCTCATGCTCCTCTGTTGTGGAAGATATTCTCTTCTCTGCCACAGCAAGCTTGAGATCCTGTAGGCCCCACATCAGTGAGCCAGAATGCAGCCGGTGAGAGACAAGGGGTAAGTAAATGTCTCCCTGCCAGGTGTTCCTTGAAGGTGAAAGGAACCATGTCCCAAATTTTTGGTGCTCCTAAGACTAGGTTACATACCCAGAACTCAGGGAGCAGCACTGTTCAGTAAGTGCTGAGGACACTGTACAGGCTTCTCCCACGATACTCAGGGAAAGCCAAAGCATAGAGCACAAGCACTCTTCTTGCTTTTTAGCTCCCTGTGCTGTCACCTGAAGTACATTCCCTGTTGATCTTCAGTAAGCTGGGTGACTTATAACAGTAATGCACAACACACCTCAAACGATCATCTGCCCTGACTGGTGGCAGTCCAGTTTCAGATTTGAAAACACATGGCAACGAAAGACAAGCAAATAGACATAAGCCAGAAAACTAAAACAGGAGCCCAAGTGCACAGCTATGCCTGTTCCCCTCCTGCTCATGAGAAGATCACACAGGGTAACAGCTACCTCCACAGTTGGTGGCAGACACTACCCAGTTGCATCCAGGAAGAAAATGAGGATCCTGGCTTGGTTGGGTACCCTCTGCATTAGGAAAAAAACATGTTACATTCGTTCTTGGCAAAGTACTTCTCTGAGAAATCATTCACGTTTGGAAATGCTGGAGTTATCAAAGGAGAAAATAAAACATCCATGCAAGTGGTGCCACTGCAGAACAGCAAAAGTCGGGCTCTCCAACTTAATAATAAAGCCAATTTACCAGGAGCCCTAGTTAATTATGCACCGTTGCCATGGTTATTCTGCGAGACAATAAAAGGTAATGGGGCTGTTTCTGAAGTGAGTGAAAAGAATAAAGCACATCTTGAGGTGGACTGCTGACTTTTGAAATTTCTTCCCCCACCAGCTGGAGGCTGGGTGGGCCTAAGTCATTAAAACACGAAGGGTGTTAACCGTGAAGAAGGGTGCTAACCTACCTCCTCAGAAGATGAAAATGATTTCTCTAACCACAAAATACCTTCCACCAGTGAGTTTTCCAATTAGATTTGTTTCACCAACTAGAAAAAATTTGCAGTCACAGGCAGAGGACCCAAGGGCGAGGGGGTTGTTCACCCACCTGAAGGAAAGGCAGGTGGGGAGAACAGAGCGCAGCTGGTCTCTCGGCCAAGGAACAGCAGGGTGGAGAATGGACACAGTAATCCGAGCCTTTGTGCCAGAAGGTTATTTTCTACTACTCAGTTGTTTGGCATAACAGCTATGATTTATAGATTTTATCTATTTTGCATTGCTTTTTTAAAAAGTAAAAATATTCTAAGAATTAAAAACAAAGTATACAAAAGCACACTTGCTCAGAGCAGAGACCTGAGAAAACTCATAGCTGTGTTCAGATAAAACCACCTGAGAAGGCATCCTGGTATTGGAGCCAGATCTACTAGTAGAACAAAGAAATTACCATCAGTGCAGAGAGCAAAGTGCTGTCTCCTAATGTGATTAAAAAACAGTATGTGAAATCTACACAATTCGGCTGCCGAGGCTCAGCCACACACACGGATCAGAAAACCAGAAGCCACCTACACAGTTCTCTACCTCTGAATTTCTAGGTACTAGGAAAGGATGAGGAGGATGGGGTGGGCAGGGGGTCGTGGGAGACAGAAACATGGAGAGGGAGCAGTGGTCTCTAACATCCTGAAAGGTTTTTGAGAAATTTCAAGATCTTAAAACACAGACAAGTTAACATAGGCTTTTTGCAACTTGGATGGTAGCTTTTTTTTTTTTTTTTTTTGTGGAACTGGAGATTGAACTCAGACCCTTGCACTTGCCAGGGAAGCGCTTATTCTACTGAGCCATCTCTCTGGCCCCTTGGATGGTATCCTTACAATAGGCACCTTTTTTTTTTTTGTCTTTGCAGCTATCACCTGCTGGCTAGGCTACCCACGAGTGTGTGGACCCCCGTGCCACACTTATCATTGGTGGATAGCAGTGCCATTTTTAACACTCCTTGCTGGCTACTATCCTGTGAAGGACCTTCTCCCCATGCAGGTGAGAGGGAAAGTCAGTGTCGCCTGCTGCAGTAACCCTGAGGCAGGGCTCCAAACGAGAGGAAAAGGTGTTGAATATGTGAACCAAAGTCTTAGGAAACTCTTGGTTTTTCCAAAATAATCAATCACCTATAGTGACTACCATCACAGAGAAGTACATCAGAAGGGTGTCATTTATTTAAAAGATTTATCATCTTACAGATGCAGAACACATAATTCTCAATGTGCAAAACTAACTTCATTTTAGGGTCCACTAAATATTTCATGACACGGTAATATAAAACCTAAATTATTATGTACTATATTTTTTATGAATATCAGTTTAGATTATTTATCCATACTTATTTATCTCACAATGGCATGTACTAGGGTTGAAACTAGTATTTCCCTTTCTTGAAACTCCTTTAGTAATCAGCTCAAGTAAGCCCTCTGGAGACCACATCCTCACGTCCCTCTAGTGCAGCTGCTCTGGACAAGACAGCGAAGCCTGATGGTATCCTTGCGTGCTTCCGCATCTCGGCATAGATGACATATTCATGTTGTATATCAAGGGATGTTAACATAAAAGCTGTCACTGGACTTCATTAGAAAAGGAAACCATGGGTGCTTGTTTACTTGTTCTGGGACAAATATGAGGTTCTCATTCAGTAGGGTAACATAAGGGAAAACTGTACGGACTTTGAAATTAACCCGAAAGCCCAAGAATGCTTACTAGAGGTCTTAGGAAACACAGGGAAAGGACATGGACTTCACTAATGGGATCCCAAGTGGAACTCGCCAGCACTTACGAAGCGAGCCTTGACTCTCTTGGGTAGCTCTTCATCTAACGTGTAGATGTCCTCTCTCTTCATTGCTATCTGGGATCCATCTTCAAATTCAACCTAGTGAAATAGAAGGTATCATGATTTTTGTATATTACAAACCGGTGTTAACTACTTTTAAGTGTTCCAATTAACTATGTAAAAACAGGTAAAAAGGACTCAAGCAGAACAGAAACAGAACCAGCCACTGCTCAAGGAAGTAAGAAGAGCTTCCCTTATTAAACGAAGAACAAAATACATTTGTACTTTCTATAGTTCTGAGGGCCTCACACATTCTGGGCAAGTGCCCTACCATTGAACTATGTCCCCAGCACCCAAGGACAAAATACATTTTAATTACTGAAAGTTTTACTTTCAAATTTATTAGTGTATATTCATAGAACATACAATTTCATTTATCATTCTGTTGGTACATGTGCATACCACCAAAGTATATTTTAAAATAGCCATTATTGAACATGGGAATCTTAAAATATTAGGTATGCAGAGCATATCCCTAATAGCAACTAAAAGGATAGTACAGACTGATGAAATGATTTCTTAGAGAATCTGAGAGAGGCAAATTCAGCACTGAGATAGCTGGTCCTGTCAGTGCTGTGATTTAAGAGACTTCAAAAACAGAACAGGGACAGCTGTTCTTTTCTGTGAAAGAAAGATCATATATTTATTCATGTAGAATCTTCCAGGATAAAGCAACTTCTCAAGTTCTTATAGAGTTGTAACTTTCAAACATCACTTTTTCCAAATGCAAACAGGCCAGTAAAATCCCAGTCTCTCTATGTAAACCTCATGAATATGTGAAATACATTATCACCTAAAACAAAAAATGTTTAAAACTTTTTTTCATGCACCCAAATTGCAGCAAATAATTTCATACTGATTTTCTTCAACAATTTAGGAGATTTTGTCAGGAAAAGGACACACAACACTAGATAAAACAGAAGTCTAGAGTGTGTGGGCTCAGGTTCACTCCAATTTGATTCATGCCAGGAGAAACCAAAGCAGCAGAACCTTATGTGTTAACCACTCAGGCTAGTTAGAAAACCTCTGACATCGCTAACATCTTTGTCTGAATACCTGTTTTGTTTTGATGCAGTACTGGAGGGTAAAGCTAAGGCCTTGCTCATGCTAGGCAAGTGACCTACAACCCCTCACTCTGGAATTCTTCCCTCCTAAGAAATGAAAATATGCCTGTATTTCTGGTCAAAATGTGACTTATACTATGTAGCTGTGTTATGTCAATAAACAAAAATCTTCTGGAGTTGGAAAAATAAAATATATAAACATCTTTTTAAAAAAATTAATGATGTACTGCTAACATGATTAGACTGGGAAATTAGGTTTCTGTCACAAGATAACAACTGTCACTTCCTGAAGGGCATGGTTTTTCTAGGCTAAGGAATCTTCTCAATTATACTATCTGGTAGTGTATCTGGAACGATGTGTACCTACTTTGTTTTAAATAATGCAAAAATTGTACGAGAAAAAGCCAACGACAAAACTAAAAGATAATGAAGAATGCTAGGAATAGGGCGACCAACAACCCTGTGTGCTAGGCACCTAGCAGTCTCCCAGGATGTGGCACTGTGGGATTTTTTTTTTTTAGCTGTCAAAACTCTTTCATTAACACTGGGTGGTGTGCCAGCTTCTGGCCCCAACCCATCATGGCCCCAGTCCAAAGAGCGTTGAGTTCAGCTCAGCCGGGGATGCGCACGTCTGCGCGGCGCTGGAGCCGCCGGGCCCGCGTTTCTTCGGGCAGGATGGCCAGCAGCTGCTCCTGTACCAGCATCTCCACCATCTGCTCCTTGGTGCGGATGTCTGGCCGCAGCCACTGGCGAGAGAGCTCCCGCAGCTGCCGGAACGCTTCTCGGGGTCCGGCCGCGTCCTGGTAGCGGAACTGTCGGAATCGCTGGCGGAACGTCTCGGGGCCTGGCCGCGAGCCGCTGGGGCCCGCCGGGGAGCGCGAGGCGGCTGAGGCCTGCGGCGCAGAACCCAGGGGTGCGGGCCTGAGGGGCAGCTCCAGCACCGCGGAAGCCGCGGCGGAGGGCGTAATCTTCACTTCGGGGATCTTGGCGTTGGGGTTGCAGGACTCGGGGGCAGGCGGGGAGGCTTCTGGGGTCGAGGGATCTGCGCAGTTAGTTTCAAGATCTGACTTTGCGCCGGCTCTGTCCTGCTGCTCAGGCGGTACAGCCGCAGAGTTCCCGGTGGTCGACAAGCTCGCTTCTGTCGCCGCCATGACCAGCTCTGGGCGTCACTCTTTGTCCCCACTGTGGGATTTTAAGCAATAAAACCAGAGCCAGTGCCAGGCAAGCAGGGCCAGCTGTTCATCCTTGTAGGGACTCAGCTGAATAAACTATGACCCTTCTCTTCACCAGCTGGGTCCTTTTAATGGTTGATTTTTGTCAACCTGAGAAGTGTAGAAGCTTAACTAACCCAGCTCAGTCATTCCACATTCTAGGATGTAGGAGACCCAGCCTAGGGTGGGCGTCCCTGGAGGAGCTCCAGTCTTCACCCTGAGCTTGAAGGTCATCTCTTGGCTTCCAGGGCAGACTCTTGCGCGTCCATGTTAGCACCTTCAGCCTTTAGGCCAACTCTTCTGCCTTCCCACATAGCCCCCTGGCTTTCAGATGTGGACTTGCACAGACTCTGCAGCGGGCTCCAGACCTTGGCCTGTAGCCCTCAGCCTCCAGTGTGCAGACTCCCTGCGCAAGGCTTGCTCATCCAACTCTGTGTATCTTGGGTAATATCAGTTTCTTTAGTAAAATGGTGACTGGTACAGTGCTCTTGAACAAATTAACAATTTTTGTTCTTTTCCTTATTAAAAATGCTTTTACTGAGCCTCTCTCCCATTTGTAAAATAGGAGTCAATAAAACCTATTCTGCAGGACTATAAGGATATACTTAAGATTTAAGCACTGTGAGCTAGGTATTTAAGTTATACCTACTTTTATAAATGCCTTTGCATAGTCAACAGTCAAGTTGAATAATTAAACACAAGATACAAAATGATCTCAAAAGGCCATTTGATTTAATGGGGAATTTTATACTACTTGTGGTTGAGAGACAATTTTAATATCAGTCTTAACTTTTTTCATTGAGTCTATAAAGATGCCCATAGTTTTACATTGGTAGGCCATCATAAATCCAGCTGAAGCTAACATACTGATTACTAATTAGCCTGATTTTCAATGTGTCCTTATTCCACGATGCTATTTACTGCATGTAAGAAGCTTTCATTTTTGCACTTTTATTTAATTAAATGTAATTATTTTCTTTTGAATGAGCATTTTTTGAAATGCTGCTTATTTTCCAGAAATCTCCAGCAGTATGAGCCTGACTTGTGGCTTGTGTATTACGTCTGAATAATCTGACACAAAGAAGCTCCAGAACTCACCATATGATAAGTAATCTGAACCTGCAGCTTAATACTGTCACTAGCACCATCTGCAAAAGGAAAATGACCTGCATATATGCCCACACACCACACTAAAAGGGAACATGGCCCGCACACCCATACGCAAGCTCTCCCCCTCCCTACTCCCCTTGGGTTTTCTAGACCACAAAAAAAAGTTCTCTCCTAAAATTTTCAAACTTCTTTGAACACTTTTAATTATACTGTGCTCCCATTCTTGATGCACGGCCTTATAGTGCACTCTTCCACTTAAGCCCTTGCCTCTTATCGGTCTTCAATTTCTCTGCTGAAACCGGCAGTCTTATCATTTGCAAGCTGTTTTTCAACTTAACAGCCCTGAACATGTTTCTTTTTTCTCTTTTTACTTCAATCTTCCTGTTTTCATTCTACCATTTAGTTTGCAATGTTGATTTCTGCCACAGTGTTACTGAAAATACTCTAATGTGTTGGTTCCAATAAATGTATCCAAAACCTTTCTGAAGAAATAAATGTACATGTGCTATTCATGTCATCTCCATTTTTTCAGCTTAACTCATTATTATTTCTAGAAGGAATAACACAATTTCATTTTAAAATTCATTCTTTAATATGATGCAGAGTTCCCTTGTGACAGAATGTTCACCTGACAGTTGTGCTCTTAAACAAATGCTCCTTTAATAACCACTGGCTCTTCAGGACACTAACTGGCTGCATCTAATACCAATGTACCATTGCATTGGTTTTATTTTTATTTT